AATGCAAGAACAAGAGCCTAGCGTGTGCAAAATAGCAAGAACTGTCAACGGGAGTTGTTGTTGGCCCCGTCCTTGCTTGGGTGTAGCCAATTTCGTGGTTGGGTGTACGGGAGGTACAGCCGACTTGTTGCAGTGGGCGACGTCGACTTGGGCGAGCTGGTCGACGGGGTTGGTCGACTTGCACGGGGCCAGTGCGATGCCGCCGATTTGGTGGTCGGCGATGTGGCACGTCGACCCGGAAGTCGGCGCCGACTTGCAAGGTCACCGACTTGCAAGGTCACCAACTTGGGAGGTTGTCGACTTGGGAGGTCGACGAGCATGTACAGGAGCAGCTGGTCGCCATGGTTGCCTGGTCGATCGGGATACCTGGGTGACGAGGTTCTGCGAAGGAGTGCGACTGTCGCCCAGGCGAAGTTGGCGAGTCCGACCTCGGTGGTGGGGTCCTGAGGTCGACGTGGCGGATCAGGTGGAGCTGTCAGCACGAGGATGACTTGGTGCGTGCGCTCTTCAGGTGACGAGGCTTAGCCTGCCAATCATGTATGAGCACCTGCGAAGTAGGTGCGCTGCTTGTCTGCGAGAGCAATGCTGGCACGCCGTCAACCTGCTGCGTTGGCACGCCGTCGACTTAGCACTGCTGGAGCGTGGTCGACCAAGTTGTGCTGTAACGCGGTCGACCATGCTGTACTGGCAGTCGACCAACCTGAATGCTAGCTCTGATGTAGTCTTGCCATGCCAACTGATTTGGACCATTATTGTCAACTTTTCCTAGTGAAACTCTTGCCAGATTGCCCCGTGAACTAGCAAGTAGTGTGAGCACTAGGAAAACGACTAAGGACCAAGGAACGCAGAGATCACACGAGCACCCGTGCCTAGCCCATAGTCTAGCTCCCGTTGAAGCAGTCATCTCCGCAAGAACAAGGGCCTAGCATGTGCAAAATTTCAAGAACCTGAATTGGGTTGCATATTCGAGTGGCCCATGTTAAAATTCACTTACTAGAGCCTTTTTGGCCTGGTCTTTGCGGAAAGAAAAGTTCGGCGCCTACGATTTCGGCCATTAGTGCTGCCAAGTGCGTAGAAAGCGCGTGAATCTCTCTAGGGGTAGGGAAAAGCACCCAACAACCTAAATTTTATTGCATATTCGAGTGGCCCATGTTCAAATTCACCTACTAGAGCCTTTTTGGCTTGGTTCTTGCGCAAAGAAAAGTTTGGCGTCTACGATTTCGGCCGTTTTTTGCCGCCAAGAGACTAGAATGCGCGTGAGTCCTTATAGGCGCAGGGAAAAGCACTCAACAACCTGAATTGTGTTGCATATCCGAGTGGTCCATGTTCGAATACACCTACTAGAGCCTTTTCGGCCTAGTTCTTGCGGAAAGAAAAGTTTGACGCCTACGATTTCGGCTGTTAGTGCCGCCAAGAGTCTAGAAAGTGCGTGAATCCTTATAGGCGTAGGCAAAAGCACTCAACAACCTGAATTTTATTGCATATTCGAGTGGCCCATCAAATACACCTACTAGAGCCTTTTCGGCATGTTTCTTGCGCGAAGAAAAGTTCGGCGCCTACGATTTCGGCCGTTTTTGCCGCCAAGTGCCTTAAAAGCACGTGAATCTTAATAGGCATAGGGAAAAGCACTCAACAACCTGAATTTTATTGCCTATTCGAGTGGCCCGTGTTCAAATTCACTTACTAGAGCCTTTTCAGTCTGGTTCTTGCGCGAAGAAAAGTTCGGCGCCTTCGATTTCGGCCGTTTTTGCCACCAAGTGCCTAGAAAGTGCGTGAATCCCTATAGGCGTAGGGAAAAGCACTCAACAACCTGAATTTTATTGCATATTCGAGTGGCCCATTTTCAAATACACCTACTAGAGCCTTTTCGGCCTGGCTTGATTCGCAAGTTTCTATACCGGTGTAATTCGATCCCGTTTTCGCAGCGATCCGGGCCATGTTCCCCCCGGAATGCGAGCAAACCTACTCGGGTGTAGAAAATTGCAAAGCGGGCGGGGATTTCTTCACATTCTCGTGCTCTCTATACCCCTCCGCACCTCCAGCAACGATTCCGGCTCGAAATGCGCATAGACGCGGAATGCGTACCTCCCAGACCGGGCCCCTCGTAGGCAATCCGAGCAATGTTCCCCCCCGGAACGCGAGCAAACCTACTCGGGTATAGAAAATTACTAAGCGAGCGGGGATTTCTTCACATTCTCGTGCTCTCCATACCCCCCCGCACCTCCAGCAACAATCCCTAAATGTTTTTTTTACGCCTATTAAGATTCATGCGCGTTCTAAGTTTTTTTCGGCAAAAACAGCCAGATTCATAGGCGATGAACTTGAGCACAAACCGAGCTGAAAATGCTCTGACACGTGTATTTGAACATGATCCACCTCGCATGTTTCCCACCTCATATATTTCCCACCTCGCATGTTTCCCACCTTGCATGTTTCCGACCTCGCATGTTTCGACCTCGCATATTTCCCACCTCCCATGTTTCCCACCTCGCATGTTTCCCACCTCTCATGTTCTCGACCTCGCATGTTCTCGATGTTCCCGACCTCACATGTTCCCTCTTCGCATGTTCTCGACCTCGCATGTTCCCGACCTCACATGTTTCACCCTACCAGGGGGCAGTTTCAATTCCATTACCATTCGCCCCACCAAGGTGCGGTTTCAAAGCCCCATTACCATTCGCCCCACCGGGGTGCGGTTTTTGCCCCAATTCCAATCGCCTAGCTAGGGGGCGGTTTCAGCCCCATTACAATTCGCTCCACCAGGGGGCTGTTTCAGCCTCATTACCATTCACCCCACTAGGGGACAGTTTCAGCCCCATTACCATTCGCCCCACCTGGGGGCTGTTTAAGCTCCATTCCCATTCACCCCACCAAGGGGCGTTTTCAGCCCCATTACCATTCGCCCCGGTTTCAGCCCCATTACTATTCGTCCTGCCAGGTAGTAATCTCCTCCCTCCCCCTCCCTTCTTGTATCCCTTTCCATCCCCCATGTCACTTCCTGCCATTCATCCCCCATCTCTGGTCTCTAGTTGCCTAGATAATTATTGTCATTTTGAGTCATAGTTGTGTTCTCCAATGTTGTGCTGAGGAGACTGCTTGTATCGATGAATATTGATGACAAATAGGGATCGCACGATGGGAGTTTGTTCCACAAAGTTGATGTCGCGTGGGAAGAAAACCAACCCTGAACGAGGAGCTAATGACCTGGCGACCGATAAGTGGTTACAGCTGTACACGTGGAGAAGAACGGAGGAAGCACAGTCACGCGCCAGGTGGGGCCAGGGAGGGACTTCGCGCGAATTTGAGCTCCGTATGAACACTTGCGGAACCCGGCGGAATTTGGATGGTACGGTGCTGCGCCGCCATTTTATCAGCCAATCCAGTCTCGACACGGATTCTCAAGCCTCGTTGAGAGGTCCGGCGCTGGTTCCATTATGCCTGAACGGGGTGGGATGGGATGGGAGCTGTTGAATCTCTGCGCCGATTCCCGCCATGCCTTCTTCCCGTAAAGTGCCTCTCGGTATCCCTCCCCTCCCTCCCCTCACCAAGCGCGTAGGCGGGAGAGGGGAACCTCGAGAGTCGGGGCACCTATGGGAGCGCATTTTTCACCCCACTCGCCATTCCCTGTTCCTCGACATCTCCAATGCTCATGAAGAGGCCACAACTCCAACGGTCAGAAAAGCAGCATCTTGGTCTTCGATTGCCTAGGTTGCTGGTTACGCTAAGGCTAGTGTGACTTGCTCGGGACTTGGTTCGACTCGACTGTTTAATCGTCAGTGTGACAACGTCTTAGTGAGTTAGATAGTTTGTGCGAAAGAATTACGTAGCAAGCCCAGCTGCAGCTTATGCAATCGGTTTATATACATGGCCTGGAAAGCTCGCAAGACAATGCTTTTAGTAGCCTGTGTGCTTATCGTAGCCCCAGCAGCGGTCCATCCTGCTTATTCCCATGATTATAATTCCTGGCCGACGAAGCCGAAAAATCGAGACAGAAGCAATGAGGATAGCCAACCTCCGAATACTATTTCAAATAGTCAGCATCACAATGCCAGAGCACCAATGACAGCCGCTTATCGACAGAAGGCTTTCGATGACGATGTAGACAGCAGTGATGGTACTCGAAGGACAGACACTAGGAACAATGAGCGTCGTCGTTCCGAAGCTCCTCTCTCTAAGGTTCTTCTTTCCGAAGGACCTCAGAGCAACGGTCGGGATAATCGGCCACCCAGCGATCTGTTCAACGGCGATGCGGAACCCGTGACATATCAGCCGTTGATCGGCGTACTCTCGCAGCCCGGAATTGCGGACAGCGGCGAGATTGCACGCGTGTTCAACGCGACGGAAGAGAACCAATTCGCCAACTTGTCTTATATCGCAGCGTCTTATGTGAAATTCATTGAGGCCGGAGGCGCTAGAGTCGTGCCAATTATTTACAACGAGCCGCGCCGCCAGATTTTGAAGAAGCTCCGGCTGGTGAACGGGCTGGTGCTGCCGGGAGGTGACGCGAATAAGCGAGGAAGGTTCCTTCGGACCGTGCGGCGGTTGCTGAAGGTGGGCCTGGGAAAGCGGTGAGCTGGAGGCAAGGATGAATGGGATGCGATGGGATGGAACGGGAAGGGATGGGATGCGATGGTGTGAGATTGGGATGGGCGGGGACGGCGTAGAGTTGGATGGGATCGGGTTGCATTGCAGGTTCTGGGATGGCGTCTTCCCATTACAACGTCTTTTACATCTATCTCCCTTTTTGGAGGAGAATTTTGGTGAATGCACCACGCCTGGCAAAGTGTTTCTTTTCTGAGGGTTGATTGAATCCGAGGGGGCCAATATCCGTCCTGCCGCCGGGTGTGTCTACGTTTGTGTGTGTGCCTGTGTGTGTGCCTGTGTGTGTGCCTGTGCATGTGTGTGTGCCTGTGCGTGTGCATGTGTGTGTGCCTGTGCGTGCGCATGAGTGTGTGCCTGTGCGTGTCAACACGTAAACTCGTGCCTCCCCGCAGATGGCCATGTCATTTAACGACAATGGCGACTACTTCCCTATTTATGCCGAGTGCCTCAGCTTCGAAATGCTCACCATCATCCTCAGCACGGTGAGTGGTCCTGGTAACTACCCTGTGTACAGTGGGTGATACGATTCAGTACCCTCATTGCACTTGGCGGTGCGAGTTTGTGTCCTCATTCACTGGCCAATTTACGTGCTACTACTTCTACCCGCCGACACTTTCCAACTCTGTTGCCTTGTCAGTTGTCGCACACAATGCATGATACGAGCCATGTTATGCTATTCGCAGCGCATGTTTCAGGTACAATAGCTGTTACTTTGTGTCAAACGCATTGCATGTCACATGATACACAAGCTGTAATGCTGAGTATCTGGATGGGTCCGATGCGGTGCAGGGAGGTCGCAAGGTGTTGGAGCCGACCAACGCCAAGAGGCCCAGCACGCTGCAATTCGTGGGAGAATGGGCCAAGGACAGAAACATGTTCGCATGGTGGGTTGCTTTATCCACGCAGGATTGCTTCTGGTGGGTGGTTGCTTGTATGGACGGTTGTGTTGCTTGTTCGCATGCTGAGTTCTGTGCTTGGAGAGTGGGCCAAGGACAGAAACATGTTCGCATGGTGGTTTGCGTGCCTGATAGTGGTTCACACACTTTCATGTTTGAAGCGTATACTTACATCTCTGGATTCATAATAGCTGTGCATACAAATCTGATGGAATCTGGAGCACATGATTTTCATTCTTTCTGTCACAAACTCTCATCATCACACCTTTCGTTTGTGTTACAGGATGCGCAGAAGGCTGGTGGACCGGCTGGAGAAAGAAAACCTGACAATGGAGAATCACAAGGTATGTTCCCTTAGTTCAGGAATCTGACCCTTTTGAATCTTTCACGAATTTACCACTGATGCTTCACCCCCCTGTGTGCGGCCCATGTGCTCGTGGCAGTACGGGTTGACTCCCGAGACGTTCAATGCTGATGAGGGTCTCTCGTCCTTCTTCAACATCCTCACCACCACTGCTGATGACGATGGCAAGGTGCGTGTGGTGCTGGTGCTGGTGTGGTGGTGACAGTGGCAAAGATGGGTGTGGATGCTGGTGCTGGTTGTGGTGGCAAGGCTGGTGTGGTGGTAATGGTGGTGGCAACCTGAATACTCCTGTTTCCCTCCTGCCCATTCTCCAGTCTGTCCTGTATTTCTCCATGCTCCCATCTATCGCTTATTACTGTCACATGGTAAACAAAAAAGGGCATTTTCTTGTTAACAATGGCCTGGCTTTCACCGCCCAATCACCATTCTTCGTTGTCCTTCCACCGCGCTCCCCTCACGTTTGTGACACTCGTTGTACCACCATAATTGAGGCCAAGTGTATGCCTTCACTTCCCATTCACCGCTCTCCGTTACCCTTCCACCGTGCTCCCATCCTCCCATCGCATGTGATCTCAACACCAGGAGTACATATCAACAGTGGAGGCCAAGAGATACCCCTTCACTGCTCTACAGTGGCACCCTGAGGTACTGTTCTGAGATCATGCACCCCCCACATGCTCCCAGTATCACTCCCACCTGGGCGCAGCTTCTGTGCCTGTGTCCCTCGCTTCCTGACATTCTTACATGTCTGTGCATGCACACACAATGACAACAACCTACTGGCCCTGCGGCCCTCCCCCTTTCCCCCCCCTCTTTGTTTCTGATTGGATGTGCAGAAAAATGCGTACGAGTGGGGCAACCCCATCTTCCCACACTCCTCCGATGCTGTGCAGATCACACATGCTGCTGGCACATTCTTTGCCAAGTGAGCCTCGCTGCTCCTCTTCCTCTGTTGTTATTCTCAACCCTTCCCTGCCCCTCCTTGCAAAATTTCTACCCGCTGCATCTCTCCGCTGCTACTTCTGATGTTCTCGCCCCCTTCCTGCCCCTTCACTGCCTTTCCCTGCCCTTTTCCTGCCCTTTTACTGCCCTTCGCTGCCCCTCATCTGCCCGATATGTCACATCTTTCATAGTATTTTTGCTGTCCTGCCAGATGCTTGTTGCCACTGTATGCATGGAATGCTGCACTGCACACAACGCATGAAATTCACCAACATCCGCAAGCAGCCACATCCTGACATTCGCCCATATGGTGCAATACCCTGGAAGCGCACATTGACCTCTTATTCCAATCCCTCCTCCCCTTGTGAATCCTGTAGTGAGGCCCGCAAGTCCAGCCACAAACCACGATCAAGACGAGAGCTGTACCGCTATTTGATATACAACTATGACCCCGTGTTTACCGGAAAAGAAGGGTAAGTACATGTTGGTTGGTGGGTGGGTCGTTTTATTTTTATGCATGTTTGCGCTTATCATGGAGCGTTGAACAAGCATATACCAAGCGCTTGCCAGCCGAACGAGCATCTCACCTTGTTATCCTGCTCTTTCTTGCAGGTCGTTCCACTATGATCAAGCGTATATATTTCAGTGCAAGAATGCGAGCGACACTATGTGCTTCTTTCCCAAGGATAGACTCGGATCAGCACCCCAGAATATTGTAAATGACAAGGAAGAATCACATATAGTAGGAATTGAATCTGTATAATGTATAATACCTTAGTATGTCTTACGCCTTACTGTAGTACGAGCTGCACATTATATCTGTACTCGCATAACGAGATTACTGGACGACACTCACGCAGCCACATCAGCTCCACGTCGGTGCGCTTCCTTTTTCAAAAGCGTTGTCATTCTCGTAGGATATTCATGGCAATCTCAAAACAAGACACATCCATCTCCCATCCCCACCAAGCCAAGCATTTCCTCCATCTGCTGTTGAGTGGAAATTCGAAGACATCACTCGGTCATGATTCAAGTACAACCCACTGTCGCCTCTCTTTAGGATCCTTCTGTTAGACCTTTCGTCCGTTGTTATCATCGTCACTGGTAAAGCGTGTCATGGCGCTGTGCCGGCAACTCGTTGCTGTTCCGCATCCTACGCGCCACGTGGTTCTGGATCCGTCCTTAAGTTCTCGGAATTCCGGTCTTCTGTTCCTGCCGTCGCTCCCTACAGCGCTGACGGGACGATTTGTAACGAGCACAGGTGAACGGTGCTGCGTCAGGCGTAGAGCTCTTAATGTTACAGCGAAAACGTCTAAAGCGAGGAAGAATTCAGCGACGCGAACCAAGCAGCCGAAAAGGACTGAGAAACGCGTTTCCCGGACGAATGTCGAGTCATGGGATGCCACGTCAGCGGCGTCGGAGCCGGATTTTTCGTGGGCTAGTGGCACAACTGTAGCTTCCTTAGGTCGCCGTGATGATGACGTGGACGGGGAAGGGTCTGGCGTGGCAATAAGAGGCAGAACAACAAGGGGTTTACGTGTTGACACCAAGAGAGAGCTTGAAAATGCAGATACCACGCCTGTCGCCGCGACAGCCGCCGCATCAGCCGCCGTTCTTACAACGGCAGCATTTGTTAGAGAGGAAGATAACGTAGGGGTAGTGACAGACAAGCCTGCTGTTGACGTGGCGAGAGGGCGAGAAGAGGAGCAGGAGGAGGAGGAAGAGGAAGAGGAAGAGGAGTGGGATGGGGATTGGGAGGACGAGGAGGAGGGAGAAGACGAAGATGTGAGGGTAGAGTTGTGGGAGGGTGATTTACCCCCGATGACGGAGGAGGAGGAGCGGGAGCTGCTTCTAGAGGCGGAGCGCGAAATCGCGCAACTGGAGGCGGAGAAATTGGCGGGAGCTGCGCCTGCGGCGGGACGCATGGTGGACGGCGATTGGTTGCAGGAAGACGGGGAGATCGGCGCGGGTGCGGGGCGGGAGATGGGCACAGGGAAAGCGGCGCGCGAGGAAGGGGCGGAGGCGGGTAAGGGCGCGGGGGAAGCGGCGGGGGGAGCGGTGGCGGACATGGAGGGGGAGATTGCGGCGCTGCGGCGGCAGCTGGCAGAGATGGAGAGGGAGCTGGCGGAAGCCAAGGCGCGGGAGAGGGCGCAAGCAGCGGTGGAAGGGCTTAGGGGACAAGGAAACCCTGAACCCCGGGGTTCTGCGCCTGAACCCTCAGGGATTGTCGTAGAGAAGGCGGAAGCAGCGGGTGTGAGAAGCGAGAGCGATTCCAGACGGGTTCGCGACGAAATAGTGGGGGGAGAGGAGGGGGAGGGAGAGGGTAAGGAGGACGACGTGGAGGAAGAGGAATTGGAGGAGGACGTCGACGATTTGTCCCATTTGAGGAGGAAAGAGCAGAGGCGGCTGCGAGAGGAGATGCGGTGGCTGGAAGGGAAGGACGAGGACGGATGGGAGGGCAACGACGCATCATCATCACCAGCATCAGACGCTGAGCGAAGAGGGTTACCAGCAGTGATGCGATGCTTCGACACGGCGAGGGTTTTCATCAAAGCGGGCGACGGCGGCGACGGAATAGTGGCGTTCCGCCGGGAGAAATTCGTCCCGGACGGCGGGCCGTCGGGCGGCAACGGCGGGCGGGGCGGCAACGTAATCATTACTGCCGACCCGGCGCTGAATTCCCTCCTGCCGTTCCGCCGGTCGGTGCATTTCAGGGCGACGCGCGGGGCGCACGGGAAGGGGAGCAACAGGCATGGCGAGGCGGGTCGGGACATAGAGATTAAAGTCCCCCCCGGGACTATTGTCCGCGAGGTGGTGGGGAGGGGGCCTGTGCGGGATTGGGGGGTGAAGAACGGTGGAGAGGAGTGGGCGGAAGGGGAGGGGGAGGCGGATGGGGCGCAGGGGGGGGGAGGGGAGGGGGAGGGGCGCGCGCTGCTGGAGCTGGTGCGCGCGGGGCAGAGCGAGGTGCTGCTGGCGGGGGGAAGGGGCGGGCGGGGGAACGCGGCGTTCAAGACTGGGCGCACCAACGCCCCCCAGATCGCGGAGAAGGGGGAGGAGGGCCCCGAGATGTGAGTGGAATGGGGGGGACGGGGGGAATGTGGCGAGGGAGGGGGTAAAGGGAGGCTGGAGGTGGTGGGTTGGGGAAATACGAAATGGTTGATGTGTTAAACCTCTCACACCACCCATACCCTTCCTCACACACCCCTCCTCCCGCCCACCCCTCCTCCCGCCCAACCTCTCTCACCAGCTGCAAGTGGTGGCACATGTGCGCATTGTGGCCGCACCCAACGCTCTGGATGGTTTTGTCACATCCCTTGACACCACACATACCCCTTACTCACATCCCTTGACACCACACATACCCTTACTCACACTCCCTCCTCTCCTCTCCCTCTCCTCTCCCTCTCCTCTCCCTCTTTTCTTCTCCCCAGGTGGGTGCAGCTGGAGCTGCGGGTGGTGGCGGACGTGGGCATCGTGGGAGCGCCCAACGCGGGCAAGTCAACGCTGCTCGCTACCATCTCGGCTGCCCGCCCCAAGGTGAGACCAATCCCCTGAATGTGTGTGCTCTGATAGTTACGGATACATGCTACGAACTACCCGTTCAAGCTACATGCTAGTGTCAGGGCTGCAAGAGGCAATGTGCCACACCTCTTCCCTGCTATCTCACTGCTTTCATCTCTCCCCTTCTTTCTCCACTCCTCTCCTCTTGTCTCCCTCTTCCCTTCGCCCGCCCTCCCCCAGGTGCCCAACTATCCCTCCCCCAGGTGCCCAACTATCTCTTCACCACGCTGGTCCCAACCTGGGAGTGGTGGCGGTGCCGGGGGGATTCCACCCTCCAGCAGCCCAGGCACGTTGCCCAACCTGGGAGTGGTGGCGGTGCCGGGGGGATTCCACAGCATGGTGTTGTGTGGGCAACGTGCCTAGGCTGCTGGAAGGGTGGCTCGCCCCTTCCCCTCCCTCTCACCTCTTGCTTCCTTCTCTCCACTACTCGCGCATCCCTTCGCTCTCCTTCTTTCCAGGTGGCGAACTATCCCTTTACCACTCTCGTCCCCAACCTGGGGGTAGTTGCAGTACCAGGAGGCTTCGACAGCATGGTGTGGGCGGACGTGTCTGGACTGCTGGACGGCTGCTCGCCCCTTCTCCTCCCATCTCACCTCTCGCTCCCTCTCCTCCATCCTCGCTCATTGTTCCCCCCCAGGTGGCCAACTACCCATTCACCTGTGTTTTGAGTCGACTCAAAACACACCCAGGTGGCCAACTACCCATTCACCTGTGTTTTGAGTCGACTCAAAACACACCCAGGTGGCCAACTACCCATTCACCTGTGTTTTGAGTCGACTCAAAACACACCCAGGTGGCCAAAACACACCCAGGTGGCCAAAACACACCCAGGTGGCCAAAACACACCCAGGTGGCCAAAACACACCCAGGTGGCCAACTACCCAATCTTGGAGTGCTGGCGGTGCCAGGAGGCTTTGACAGCATGGTGTGGGCGGACGTGCCTGGGCTGCTGGAGGGTGGCTCACCGCTTGCCTCTCTCCTTTGCTCTCCTCTCCACCCACCCGTCTCCCCGTATCAACCACAGGTGGCCAACTACCCATTCACCACGCTGGTCCCCAACCTAGGCGTGGTGGCGGTGCCAGGTGGATGTGACAGCATGGTGTGGGCGGACGTGCCTGGGCTGCTGGAGGGCTGTTGCTCCGTGTCCCCTCGCTCTCACCCCTCGTATCTTTCCTCCCTCATCCCAGGTGGCCAACTACCCATTCACCACTCTGGTTCCCAACCTGGGAGTGGTGGCAGTGCCAGGCGGGTTCGACAGCATGGTGTGGGCGGACGTGCCTGGGCTGCTGGAGGGAGCGCACGTGGGGCGAGGGCTGGGCCACCAGTTCCTGAGACACACCGACCGCTGCAGAGTGCTGGTGAGCTGAGTTGCGCTGTGCATGATTCTTTGAGAGGTCTCGTCGCTGTCCCGTTTGCTGGAGGGAGCGCATGTGGGGCGAGGGCTGGGCCACCAGTTTCTGAGACACACCGACCGCTGCAGAGTGCTGGTGAGCTGAGCTGACTGGTGCTGGTGGTGGTGGCAAGTGATGGAACAGATCCATGTCTGTCATTACCACATGGACGACAGCAGTCCACAGCCGTACCTGGAGCTGCAGGCACTGATTAGAGAGCTGGCCCACATCGCGCCCTCCCTGGCTGGCTGCCAAGCCACGTGTCATCCACTTTAACAGGACGGACCTGCCAGACGCGCAGCACCAGTGCCCCTTGCACTCTCTCACGCCCTCTCCCATGCTCTCTCTCACGCTATCCCCCCTGCCATCTCCCCGTCTCCTCCTCCGTACTCCCAGATTCATGTCATTGACGGCAGCAGCCCCCAGCCTGACCTAGAGCTCCAGGCAGTCACGAGAGAACTAGACCTCTTCTCTCCTTCTCTCGCCGCCAAGCCGCGGGTGATTGTCTTCAATAAGATGGACCTGCCAGACGCGCAGCACCAGTGGGGAAGCTTCCAGGAAGCCGTGCGGGAGCTGGGGCTGGGAGGGGAGGGGGAGGAGGACGGGGCGTGGTGGGGAGGGGCGGAGGGGGAAGGGGAGGGGGAAGGAGAGGGGAGGAAGGGTCCGGTGGTGCTGAGCATGAGTGCTGTGACAGGGCAGGGCACACAGGAGGTGGTACAGGCTGCGTATGGGCTGCTGAAACGCGTGCAGGGGGAGAGCGACGGATGGGGGGACGAGGAGGAAGAGGAAGGTAAAAAATGGTGCAGAGTACATGTGTGGATGGTGTGTGGTGTGGTGTGCTGCTGTGCTCTAGTGCCGAGTCTTGTAATCCCCTTCTATTTCCTCCCAGCTTTCTATGGCCCCACCTACGTAGCAAGGCAGCGAATAAGTTCTTATGCTCTCCCCTCTCTCCCCTTTCTGTGTTTCGCCTTCTCTCCTCCTGTTCTCTCTCATCCCTCTCAGCCCCTAACACCACTCGCCAGCGCCTGGGCTTGGCAGCAGAGGTGCAGCGAGCGAGGCGGGCGGCAGTGAACGAGTTCCGGGTGGCATTCGACGGCCACACGCGCGTGTTTGAAGTGACAGGGGAGGGCATTGAGCGATTCGTGCAGATGACCAACTGGGAGTGAGTGGGGGTGAAGGGGGGTTGGGGGGGAAACAAGGGAACGGGAGGGGAGCAGGGAAGGAGAGCATGAGTGTTGGGGAACGAAGTGAGTGAATGAGTGACCAATGCACGCGAAACCGCCGCACGCGTGTGCCGAAAGTGACAAGATCGGGGGCTTAGCTCTTTCCCATTCTCCTTCTTCCCATCATCTATCTTTCCTTGCTGCAGGTACTTCGAGGCAGTGAGGCGCTTTGCCCATGTGTTGGATGCGAGTGGCATCAATGAGGCATTGAGGGCGCGGGGCGTGCGCGAGGGGGACACGGTGGTGATTGGACAGGTGGGTTGGTTAGTTGTAGGTGGGTTGGTTGGTTGTAGGTGGGTTGGTTGGTTGTAGGTGGGTTGGTTGGTTGTAGGTGGGTTGGTTGGTTGTAGGTGGGTTGGTTGGTTGTAGGTGGGTTGGTTGGTTGTAGGTGGGTGGGTTGGTTGTAGGTGGGTTGGTTGGTTGTAGGTGGGTGGGTTGGTTGTAGGTGGGTTGGTTGGTTGTAGGTGGGTTGGTTGGTTGTAGGTGGGTGGGTTGGTTGTAGGTGGGCTGGTTGGTTGTAGGTGGGTTGGTTGGTTGTAGGTGGGTTGGTTGGTTGTAGGTGGGTTGGTTGGTTGTAGGTGGGTTGGTTGGTTGTAGGTGGGTTGGTTGGTTGTAGGTGGGTTGGTTGGTTGTAGGTGGGTTGGTTGGTTGTAGGTGGGTTGGTTGGTTGTAGGTGGGTTGGTTGGTTGTAGGTGGGCTGGTTGGTTGTAGGTGGGTTGGTTGGTTGTAGGTGGGTGGGTTGGTTGTATGTGGGTTGGTTGGTTGTAGGTGGGTTGGTTGGTTGTAGGTGGGTTGGTTGGTTGTAGGTGGGTGGGTTGGTTGTAGGTGGGTTGGTTGGTTGTAGGTGGGTTGGTTGGTTGTAGGTGGGTTGGTTGGTTGTAGGTGGGTTGGTTGGTTGTAGGTGGGTGGGCTGGTTGTATGTGGGTTGGTTGGTTGTAGGTGGGTTGGTTGGTTGTAGGTGGGTTGGTTGGTTGTAGGTGGGTTGGTTGGTTGTAGGTGGGTTGGTTGGTTGTAGGTGGGTTGGTTGGTTGTAGGTGGGTTGGTTGGTTGTAGGTGGGTTGGTTGGTTGTAGGTGGGTTGGTTGGTTGTAGGTGGGTTGGTTGGTTGTAGGTGGGTTGGTTGGTTGTAGGTGGGTTGGTTGGTTGTAGGTGGGTTGGTTGGTTGTAGGTGGGTTGGTTGGTTGTAGGTGGGTTGGTTGGTTGTAGGTGGGTTGGTTGGTTGTAGGTGGGTTGGTTGGTTGTAGGTGGATTGGTTGGTTGTAGGTGGATAGCTTGTGGAGTGGGGTGAGGCAGTGCGGCGCTTTCCCCACGTGTTAGAGGCAAGTGGCATTAACGAGGCACTGAGCGCGCGGGGCGTGCGGGAGGGGGACACGGTGGTCATTGGCCAGGTGGGTTCACACCTGCGGTACAATGCGGTATGCTGTGGTGGACATCGGCCAGGTTGGGCTCATTTGTAGGTGACCCACCACTAGTGATGGTGGGTGTTGTTAATCGAGCAGGTGACTTGGGTACTATTCACAAAGAGGCATAGGGCCTGGGGCGTGATGGCTAGTAGGTACAAGGAGGGCGTAGGGCATGTGGGCCCAAGGGGCAGGAGGGGGACAGCTACCGTATGTCTGGCCGCAGGGCGCAGGGCATGTGGGCCCAAGGGGCAGAGGGACAGCTATGTCATTGCGCAGTTGGCTCGTCACTGGTGCTCTGGGATCACTCCCCACTCCTCTCGCTTCTTTGGCCCATCTCCACACCACACTCCCTTCCCACTTCTCTCCCTCTTTTTCCACTTCTCCCCATTTTCCCGCTCCCACCCGCGTGTCCCACATTTCCCCTCTCGTCACTTCTCCTCCTCTCCTCTCCTCTCCTTGTCACAACGGCTGGAGATCACGTGGAGCAATGGATCACGTGGAGGGATTCTGATGACAGAATGGAGGTGGTGGGTGGGGGGCGAGTGGCAGCAATGGGTGCCCTGTGCTGCTACACATCTGAAACCTCTCTTCTCCTAACAACAGTTGGAGTTCACATGGCGGGAGTCAGACGACATAATGGAGGCGGTGGGTGGGGGGCGAGTGGCAGCAATGGGTGCCCTGTGCTGCTACACATCTGAAACCTCTCTTCTCCTAACAACAGTTGGAGTTCACATGGCGGGAGTCAGACGACATAATGGAGGCAGTGGGGGGCGACTGGAAGCACTCAATGCTCTGTGCAACTCGCCACTTGCTCTCCCTGTGTGTTATCGTCTCCCCTCCTCCCCCATTCCAGCTGGAGTTCACGTGGAGAGAGTCAGATGACATAATGGAGGCCGTGGGGGGTGACTGGAAGCGCGGCATTAGGGGGTCGAAGCTGTGGCCGCACTAGAGGGTGAATCAAGACTGCTGTTACTGTACTCCTCAGAATTACCACCTTGTCACCCATGGCTCATTCGTTACACATTTTCTCTGGACCAGTCCGGTGGTGGTGAACAAGGATGGATGGTTCTGAGTCGACTAAAAAGTGGAACATGTATGGACAGATTGTAAGGTGATATTCAGCATAGGTCTCAACATTGGTGCTCTTCAGATTGCATTCACCGTTTTTACCCTGTGAAACTGCCATGCTGGTACAATAGAATGGGCCTCCGTGGGCATGGTTGTGGCTTCAAGGGTTTCAATTATTTGTCAAGATTTCTTACTTTTGTGTACCAGGTCTGGTCAACCAGGTACAAACAGGCTATATAACTAATCAATCAAAACTTGTACAGCAGAATCTAGTGCGCTTGCTGCTGGCCAATCAAATGCAACCACGCCTCAGCCCGGGAATTTGAATAATCTTTCCTGTAGCTGTCAAGTCAACCAGTCATACCACATGCAGCCACGTTCCAGACCAACAGGCAGCTGAGAAATCAAAATTACATGCGGCAAACGCAAGCAGCCACACTCACAGAAAATGGTGCGGTGAAGGCAGACCTGAGAGTGTCGCAGAAACAACGGAATTCACCCACTTGAGTGGTTAGGTTGTGGAAGAGTGGAGAGGGGTGTGAGAGATGAGGGTAATGAGGGGGCAGTGTAGTGGTAGGGGAGGGGAGGGAGTTGAAGGGTGGATGGGGGGAAGGGGGGGAAGGGGGAGATGAGGCATCACCGGGGGGGAAGTTGAGGTATGGGAGGGGGGGAAATGGATGAGGGGTGAGTCTGAAAGCGGGGAACGGGGGAGGACTGGGAGAGAAGGGTGAGCGTGAAGGAAGGAAATTATAGAGCGCGGCAGTGATCTGAAGGGGGACCGCGGGGAAAATGAGAGGAGAACGGGGAAGATGAAGGGAGAGCGAGGAGACGAGGGGAGCGCGAGGAGAAGAGGGAAGCGCGGGGAAATGAGGGGAAAGCGAGGAAGATGAGGGGAGAGCGGGGAGGGTGAGGGGAGAGCGGGGAGGGTGAGGGGAGAGCGGGGAGGATGAGCGAATTGAGAAGCTGAGAGATGCGTGACGTTTCTAGGCCTGCCAAGGGAGCAAAGGGAGGGCTGTGAAGCGGAGAGATGAATGCCGTTTCCAGGCTACGCCGTAGGGTGAAAGTGTAGGCTAGGTCATAGGGTCATAAGGGAAAGCGGGTGAAGGAGGAGGGGGGGAAGGGGGGGAGGGGGAGAGAGGAATCAAGGGGGAAGGGGGCTGCGTCGCCTGTGACCTTTTCGCCGATCCTTTCTGCCTTCAAATGTTCATTTTTTAAGACGAATTTTGAGGCGCCTTATTTAAGGGAAGGGGAGGGAGGTGGAAGGGGAAAATAAGGGGGAAATGGCCGCTTCGCCCATCCGCCAGTCCTCTCCGTCCGATTCCCCTTTTTCTCCCCTCCACTCGCTTCCACTCACCTCCACTCACCTCCACTGACCTCCCGTCTTCCTTTTCCGCGTCTCAGTCCAAGATACAGTCGACGCTCCGAAGTTATGAAGTGGAAAGCGGAAAGGGGAGGGGGAAGGGGAAATTGCCGTCACCTCCGCTTACCTCCCTTACCGCGCCTTGCGTTCAGGATACAGTCGACGCTGTGAGGTAGACGAAACGCGCTGTCTAATCGACGAAACGCACTACGTTACTGATGCGTACAAAATCGACGATAGTAACTCGTCCGCGGACAAACGTTATGATACCGTCATTACGCAGGTATGTCGAAGTCAGATCTGGAGGGCGCAAGACTGCGACGTCTGTTCATATCTAATACTGGTAACACGCCAATAGACGCGTGAAGCGACTAACCGTACGTACGACTGAGGGGTGAGCGGCACTTGCTGCATCGTCGAAGAATTCTACTTATATCGGCTACCGCGCTGAGGTCTGACATAGCAAAACTACTACCTAACACAACTAAGGTAACAAGTCAGACCCACGATTGTACATCTGCGCGATGACAGCTGAGAAGCATTCAGTGTGGCAGGTTCGGAAAATCGAGGTTCGGGATGTTGATATTGCCGTGGTGGTTGTGCCAGAGTGTCAAAAACTCAAATCATTCCCATTGGTTTGCACAAATCTCTTCTCATCCACCCATTGTTTTCCAGCTGCCCGTGTAAGATGAAAGCGAGTCACAGCGCCACGGACAATTCCCCCAACCAGACCAAAGCCGTCCCGCAACTCACGCCGAAACTAAACAAAAACTCACTCATGCTGACCCAACTAGGATTAGCGCCACGTCAACCACCTCCTAGAAAGTTCGAGCCTGCCCTTGCAGACCAGCCCACCCAACAAACCCCCCCAGCAAAAATACGCGCCCTTAGAAAATTCGTTTGCATACTCACAAATGGAAGCCAATATGCAAAGTTCACAATGAATGTACTGTACAACATGGTTTGGGCTGGATGGATGAGGCGGGGACACAGTTTGAGCCGCCACAACATGTTCACCAGATGTCCTCTGCGGCTTGGTCGGCGGGGCATTTCATTGGCCAATGACAAAAGCCACCACCACACCTCCATCCCATGCCACAACCTGATGAAATCGTCACCGTTGAGGGTGGCTACAGCACCACCATCCACCCATTCACAGCACACTCTGTTTACTATTTCACCGCGCACCCAGCGTGGTGTCAGTAATTCCCTCCCACTCTGGCAGAGCAAGAGTCTGGCACCCCGTCCGACCGTACTGCACCTAAGTAAATGCCGTATTTTCAATTACTCGAACACATTGTTGACCCATCACATTTGGTTTGAAGTCGCGCTACGACACGCCGCGGCCGCGGTGGCTGAATTGCTGACTTTCACCCATTCATCAGTGGCACACTCTTTTGTTTCAGCAGCCACCTCCACTACCTTTCTGAGCATAACTCCCAGAATTGTGTCCTTGTCGTTCATTTTCGTCCTTCTCAAACTCACGGACGGAAGGATTTTTCGAAAGCTCCAACCTAATGAGCTTAGACTTCAGGCTAGAAGCTCCAAGGAGCAAACTGTGCTAACTGAAGCCACGGTTACTAATACACGGAGAAGCCCATGGCATGAAGCGGCGTTGAGTTAGAATAGAGGTCGGGTTTGGGGTGGGTGGGTAGAGTCCTGTGAGGAGCGAGCTGCCAAGTGCCTTGGGCCGAACCGTGTATGAAAACCTTTCGCGGCAACCTTTTCGCCGCGACTAATCTATGAGATCTTCGCGACAACCTTTCCGCAAGATTTACATGGCTTGTCTTCGCGAGTCTTCTCTTAGAGATCTTCTCGCCACGAAGCTTCCCCGGCGAGAGTTTTACGGCGCGATCTTCTCGACAAATCAGAGCGCCGACGCTGCTAGGATCATCTCTGCGATATCTTCACGCAAAGGATTTCCACGGCGAAAAAATCGCAACGGGGTCTCCGCTCAAAGCTCGTCTCGGCCAGAGCTTCAGCTTCAAATGCTTCAGCTTCAAGATGCTGTTGTCGGCCTTCCCTGTCGCTCCCCGGCGGTCTCCACCAATCGAGTGTGGTAAGTGCAGCGTTTTTTATCTTCTTCTTGTCAGTTAAGTTCTTGAGCTTTTGAACATTGTTCAGTTACTAACATGTTACTCTCTTCCCGCAGACCTCGTGGCGACCGTCTTGGCGAGACATGAAGTGTCGTCGTTAAGATCTACAATACGGCGAAGAGAGCTTCGCGACCACCCCCGTCGCTGTCTCCAAGGGAAGTCGCTGCGGTCTCTTCCCCGTCACCAACACGGAGTCGGTCGAGTGGGAAGACGCTTCAAACGCGGTTTCAATGGCGGGACGCTTCAAGCTCCGGTCCGGCGATATCTTCGGTGTGAAGATCCGATATCTTCAAGCTCCACCTGCAACGTTTTCCAACACAATGACTATCGAGTGGAGGTAAGGACTATTTATTATGTTTTCCAGTTCAGCAAAAAGAAGTTCGACTTCTTTTTAAATCCTTTTCACCTTTTAACTCGCTCTTCGTTTTTCTGCAGACGACCTGCAGACGTTTTCTGCACTTCAAAACCGGATGAGAGCATCTACCGTCGCTGGCGCTTCGAGCTCACTCAAGCCCAACCTGAGGCGCAAGTGATGAGCCCAACCTCAAGCCCAAGTGAGCTTCGGATTGTCACCATCGCCGTTGGCCCGAGCTCCGGATGCGAGTCGCGTCTTCGCTCCAAGCTCGTCTCGGAAAGAGCTTCAGCTCCAAATTTCTTTCAACGGGTTTAAGATGCTGATTCAAGGTGCGACCATCCTCCGACATTCCTACACGGAGACGGTAATTTCTCTTCAACTTCGTAATTGTTTTGTTACGTTCTGAATCGTTCGTTTTCCGCCGTTTGACGTGCTTCTGAGAATACTTCTAACGCGTTCCTTGTTTTCCTGCAGACGTCAAGCTCAAGCTTCTAGGGACGGGACCTGAAGTTTGAAGTTTGAATCCCAACCGGAAGTCCAAGCTGGAGCCTGAAGCCCAACCGGAAGTCTCGCCGATCATCGCGTTCGAATTGCCGTCGCCAACGGCGGACAGGTCGGCCAAATTGGGGTACGTGAACCGTTGACAGTTTAACTTCTGATTAACTTTCCCGTTCTCACTCGCCTTTCAGTAACTTTGGTGCTCCGTTTAAAGTCTGTTGCTTCTTCTTTTTCAGGCCACTCGAAAGCGACGACGCAGCAACGATCGCCGACGCAGCAACGCGGCCGTCGTTAAGACCTGAAGCGCCGACGCTAAGTGAGGCGTTTTTCGACTGAAGCGCTGAAGCGCCGTCGTTAAGACCTGAAGCGTCGTTAAGACCTGAGGTAAGTGCAGCATATTTCGACTTTTTTGTAACGGTTTCTTGCATTAACGTTGTTCAGTTAAGTTCTTAAACTTCTTAAACTTTTTAACATTGTTCCCGCAGATCTCGTGGCGACCTTTGCTTCAAGTCGTAAAGGCCCTTCAAACGCGGGTTGCACCTCAATCGCGGGATGCTTCAAGCTCAAGCTCC